CTCTCGCCTCAGCTCTCATATAAACTACACAACCGACGACCTCACTACAGTGGCCACTGGCTTCCGTTACTGTTTCATGCGGCAAGGATAATGTCTTCATATCGTTCTGCATGAAGACCAGGTTTAGCCTTGGTGATATTTCCTTCCCATTTTCCATGTTTCCTTATTAACATGTGTTACGTTGTTCCTTTTAGCTACATCTTCTAGCTTTGCTCTTCATGTTTCTTAATTTCCTCTCGAATCCATTGATTCCCAGTCAATTTCTTTGATTAAAGTCATCCACATTGAGCCAGGAATAACTTTCTCAAGTAAACATCTACACTGAGTCAGGAGTAACTTTCTCCAGTTAACACCCACACTGAGTGAAGAGTAACTTTCTCCAGAAAACATCCACACTGAGTCAGGAGTAACTTTCTCCAGAAATATTCATGACGGTACACAATAAACACTTCCCTCTGGTAATGCTGAAAATACAAGATGAACAAATTATATAAAATACATAAGCGGGCGAATGAGTACAAGATATGAATTACTAATGGTTTAATGTCACTATATTAAGTACATTATAATACATAATAAACACTAATACATAGCTAAACATTGAAATGCATGTTAATACCTGTACTTAGTTATCAATTTTAATATATACTAATACATCGAGGTCACCGTCCCCCAGCTCAGAAAAGCATCACACAGCTGAGGAGAACGTCATTCAGCTGCGGAATACATCAACCAGCTGGAGAGTGATGTCAGCCCCCAGGGTTTCTCCTCAGGTTTCACTGACGGGTATACATCTCAAGCGTGTCCATCTGTCTCTTTTTCAAGCTTGTCCTTTAGGCTTACCCAATCAAACGCTCTCTATTGAGCTTCGTCACTCAGCTCTTATTATCCATGAGGCTTCTCCCCCTAGAGGTTCATTTTCAGGCTTCCCTTCGAGAGGTTTACCCTCATGCTTCCCCCTAGAGGTTTACCCTCAGGCTTCCCCCCTAGAGGTTTACCCTCAGGCTTCCCCCCTAGAGGTTTACTCTCAGGCTTCCCCTCCTCAGTCATCCTCTCCTTAGGCTTCCCCTCCTCAGTCATCCTCTCCTCAGGCTTCCCCCTCCTCAGGCTTTCCCCTCCTCAGGCTTCCCCCTCCTCAGGCTTCCCCCTCCTCAGGCTTCCTCCTCCTCAGGCTTCCCCCTCGTCAGGCTTCCCCTCCTCAGACTTTCCCTTCAGGTTCCTCATCAAATTGGTCATCATCATCGTCGGCCTCCAGCATGCAGAGTGGGCTGCGTTCCTCCTGGCAACTCTGGTCGGTCATGTAGTAGTAGTGTTCGTAGGTCAAGGCGGAGCACCTGAGGACATCCCAAGGAACACCGTCAACCTTTTCTTCTCACACATACAATTGGATCATATAAACAGAAGCATAAATTCCACCCAAGAAACGCTGAACATAAAAAAAAACGCACGAAAGAACACAATAAAACAGGAAACTGCAGGAGTGATTATAGGTCCATGCAAGGCAGCTTCCAGAGTTCCCACGAAAAATATATGAGTGTATAGGGATTGTCAGTGGAAGTGTAGGGGGGGGGGGGGGGGAGGGTCGGGGTCACATATGGACCCGACCATTAATACGAGTCCATAGGACCATGTACGTCTGGTCATCACAGAGGACCAGGTACGTCTGGTCATCACAGAGGACCAGGTACGTCTGGTCATCACAGAGGACCAGGTACGTCTTGTCATTACAGATGATCAGGTATGTCTGGTCAACACAGACGACCAGGTACGTCTGGTCATCACAGAAGACCAGGTACGTCTAGTCATCAGCCCGTCCTACTTGGAAGACCACCTAGTTCTACCTGGCTGACCAGTCTCGAGTTGTCACATGGTCACTAAACTGATGTACTAAATTGCCAGAACCTAACCCAACCCAGGATCCACGAAAGGTGAAAGTAACAGCCCGTCAATATAGCGAGCCGCTATAGTTTAGAGTACATCTTATTTTGACGTTGAGGATTTATATGTCGTCCAGGTTGAGCACACATTAGGTCCATCATTAGAAATTCCAAAATAGGTGCGTAAAGCAGTAGATCTAATAAATAATAATTACCTCATACTTTTGAATAGAATATTTCATGGGTATTTATTGCCTATTTCTATTTACTAATTAATGTTAATAACAAATTACAAATATGTTTGCTCTACATCGTTATAACTGGTTACAAATATTGTGAACATATTTGTTAAGATTTTATGTAAATCTATTTTTTTTTAACTAAAAAGTACATTTTATTTTACTGTTTTATAAGAAAGTTGACAATAATTCAATTCAAAAGAATAACATTAATTCTAATTTCCTAATTTAAAGCAAATATTTAATCACCACTTCCATAATAATGCTTGGCGAATATCTAGCCAAGCAACATTTTATAAATGCTGCATCGTTTTATAAGCACGTCATATTAAAAGTTTATCAAAAAACCCCATTGTTCCGCAGAATCCCTGCATGGGAGTCATTGTTATAGACAGTAAACTAAGTGGGTACACAAGCTTCCCATGCCTAATGTCTTCTTCATAATTGAACTTAAAAAATTGAGTCTCATTACCATCCCTCCTGACGCTTGGCGGGCGCCTGGATGTAGGAGAAGCAGGGGGCGTCTGGTAGGGCAGCGGAGGTACTGCTGAAGGGGTCAGTGTGGGGCGGGGGGCGCCGCACACACGAGCTGCTGTGCCTGCAACAGTAACACAAGTATATACCACGGTTAATCCCTCTCCAAATAGGTACTGACATACAACAAACTCTCTCCAAGCAGGTACTGGCAAACGGTACACGTAATAACTTCACAGATCAGTAGGAAGACCTTATCTTGAGATGATTTCGGGGGTTTTTAGTGTCCCCGCGGCCCGGTCCTCGACCAGGCCTCCACCCCTAGGAAGCAGCCCGTGACAGCTGACTAACACCCAGGTACCTATTTTACTGCTAGGTAACAGGGGCATAGGGTGAAAGAAACTCTGCCCATCGTTTCTCGCCGGCGCCTGGGGTCGAACCCAGGACCACAGGATCACAAGTCCCGCCTGCTGTCCGCTCGGCCGACCGGCTCCCTTAGGGGCACTAACCTCACAGATCAGTAGGGAGATCTTAGGAGCACTAACCTCACAGATCAGTAGGGAGATCTTAGGGATACTACCCTCACAGCGCTGTAGAGAGACCTTAGGGGGCTTATCAAACGCAAAAATTCTGAAAAAATCTAATCTTTTTGAAAAATTTATAAAAATACTACAACGTTCTGGCAACACTGTGGCGCAAACCGATAATGTTATGATATAAATTAAAGTATTTATGGTACATTTCCATGCGTAATTGTGCAGAATCCGGTGCCCCGCGGCTGTGGCGCGCCAAGAGTATTGCGTCGTACGTTCTAAACGTCAAATTTTTCATAATAACGTCGTAAATATCGATGTATGCATAAGGAGTAAATATACACTCATTGGCAACCTTCTCACCGCTTGTTGTGCTATAGGGATTTCCCAGCCCTCAGTCACCTTGTGTGTCCGATAGAGTGTGAACTGGTCTGACGCGCGCTCCATTATCGTTCCTGGAATAGCACATTGTTGCGTCTACTGTACAAACTCTTATAAAGAGATAATGCCAGAAGATAAGAGCAGCAAATCTGGCACTCGGTCGCCGTCTTTATCAGTAAAAGAAAGTCGCTTTAGCGTGAAGAGTAATATCCAGTGAGAGATGGTGGCGCACCACACCACCTCAACCTTCCTCACACACCACCTCAACCTTCCTCACACACTTCCTCAACTTTCCTCACACACCTTCTTCAACCCTCCTAGACCCTCCTCACACACCTTCCTAGACCTCCCTCCCTCCATCACGCCGAGACAGGCTCCTGAGGAAGGTGATCCAGCAATCATGCAGGTGCCTACTAGTGCCCAATGCAGTGCCACCTTGAGGACCCACAATTCGGACCAATGTCAATAGGTTAGTATGTTTTAGTGTTATAATTTGATAGTTGGTAATAACTGTAATATGTATGTGCAGGATATATATATATATATATATATATATATATATATATATATATATATATATATATATATATATATATATATATTTTTTTTTTTTTTTTTTTTTTTTTAATTTTTTTTTCAATTTTTTTTTTCGTTTGTTATCAGGGGATGTGCATGGAACTTGCATACCTTGCTCAATGGATACCTATCTGCAAGGGTGCCAATTATGAACAAAATAGGTCGATGTCAAACTCTGCTACAGGTGGCCGAACTTTGATCTTATTTTACTCAGGTAAGTAATTTACAACTTCAAGGTGTTTCTCACCTTTCATTTATTAATCAATTTACATGCAAATTACACCTTATATGTAGAGTTTGTGCTTCTACAAACGTGTCGAGCCATTTTAGTCCAAAGTCCATTTGTTGATTTTATACAAATTTATAAACATCATATATTGCATATTTTTGAAAGGGTAACTTTGAATAATTATATTATTGCACTAAACACTTTTTGGCTAAAACCCCAATTTAAAATCCTTTATTACATGCTAATGTGATATCTGAGTGTTATAGAAAGGATTTTAGTTGACACATGTGTTCCCTAAAAAAATTTGAAAATGTTGAAAATTCGTTGCATAATGCGTTCTGTATTTTTTTCTCCTTTTCTGTTTAGGTTGTGATGCTGAAACTTGGACCAGTTGCAGCCCTTTCTATAACCATTTCATAAATAAATTTACAAACAAATTGAACAACTTTTACTTTAACCCGTAATAAACCACCTTATGGGCACTAACTCACAGATCAGTAAGGAGACCTTTGGAGCACTAACCTCACAGCCCAGTAGGGAGTTCCTAAAGGCATAACAGAATCGTCCACGGTCCACGACCAAGCGTTGGTATCCAAGTCGAACCGGCCACCGACCCAGAAATCAGTTGTCAGCCCTGCAACACCATATACCAACAATACTTATCGTGTATCACTGTCATAAATGTTCAGTGATCTTTGTGATCGTCACTCAGCACAATGCACGGTATTGTGCTCCGTACTATATATATGTCGTACCTAGTAGCCAGAACGCACTTCTCAGCCTACTATGCAAGGCCCGATTTGCCTAATAAGTCAAGTTTTCATGAATTAATATATTTTCTCTAAGTTTTTTCTTATGAAATGATAAAGCTGCCCATTTCAATATGTATGAGGTCATTTTTTTTATTGGAGTTAAAATTAACGTAGATATATGACCGAACCTAACCAACCCTACCTAACCTAACCTATCTTAATAGGTTAGGTTAGGTTAGGTGGCCGAAAAAGTTAGGTTAGGTTAGGTTAGGTAGGTTAGGTAGTCGAAATACAATTCATTCATGAAAACTTGGCTTATTAGGCAAATCGGGACTTGCATAGTAGGCTGAGAAGTGCGTTCTGGCTACTAGGTACGACATATATATATATATATATATATATATATATATATATATATATATATATATATATATATATATATATATATATATATATATATATATATATATAAACTCGACAGATAGTTTATATTAAGTTAATATAGTTAAGTTATATAGTTAAACTCAGACAGTTTATATATAAACTGGAGGAACTCGACAACCTATGATAACCATCTTTGTAACCTATATGTAACTCCTTTTTTGTAACAAAGTTCAAATAAAGCAAATATATATGTGTACATACAAAAGATTGGGGGTGGTAGGAAAAGATAATATTAGTGTTCAGTGAGAGACCACAAGGTCTCCTCTGAATACTTTTTATTTTCTTCTCCGAGGCTATGGGTCCCCACATTGGCACCAGAGGTGGTACCCTCACAAATTTGTATAAATATATATATATATATATATATATATATATATATATATATATATATATATATATATATATATATATATATATATATATATATATATATATATATATATATATATATATATATATATATATATATATATATATATATATATATATTCGTATATTTTGGTAGCAGTCTTTCCTGTAGACATATATTATTAAATATGACCGAAAAAGTAAGATTAATAATTCTAACACGAATTTTCTCGATCTTTCGTATGTTTCTTTTCACTGTTGGTGGTAATTCAAAAATCAATTCTCCAAAATTCATTTTTATTTCTTGTGTCGCGTCAGACTAGAAATAAAAATGAATTTTGGAGAATTGATTTTTGAATTACCACCAACAGTGAAAAGAAACATACGAAAGATCGAGAAAATTCGTGTTAGAATTATTAATCTTACTTTTTCGGTCATATTTAATTATATATATATATATATATATATATATATATATATATATATATATATATATATATATATATATATATATGTCGTACCTAGTAGCCAGAACGTACTTCTCGGCCTACTATGCAAGGCCTGATTTGCCTAATAAGCCAAGTTTTCCTGAATTAATATATTTTCTGTATTTTTTTTCTTATGAAATGATAAAGCTACCCATTTCATTATGTATGAGGTCAATTTTTTTTTATTGGAGTTAAAATTAACGTAGATATATGACCAAACCTAACCAACCCTACCTAACCTAACCTATCTTTATAGGTTAGGTTAGGTAGCCGAAAAAGTTAGGTTAGGTTAGGTTAGGTTAGGTAGGTTAGGTAGTCGAAAAAAATTAATTCATGAAAACTTGGCTTATTAGGGAAATCGGGCCTTGCATAGTAGGCCGAGAAGTACGTTCTGGCTATTAGGTACGACATATATATATATATATATATATATATATATATATATATATATATATATATATATATATATATATATATATATATATATATATATATATATATATATATATGTCGTACCTAGTAGCCAGAACGCACTTCTCAGCGTACTATGCAAGGCCCGATTTGCCTAATAAGCCAAGTTTTCATGAATTAATTGTTTTTCGACTACCTAACCTACCTAACCTAACCTAACCTAACTTTTTCGGCTACCTAACCTAACCTAGCCTATAAAGATAGGTTAGGTTAGGTTAGGTAGGGTTGGTTAGGTTCGGTCATATATCTACGTTAATTTTAACTCCAATAAAAAAAAATTGACCTCATACATAATGAAATGGGTAGCTTTATTATTTCATAAGACAAAAATTTGAGAAAATATGTTAAATCAAGAAAACTTTGCTTATTAGGCAAATCGGGCCTTGCTTAGTAGGCCGAGAAGTGCGTTCTGGCTACTAGGTACGACATATATATATATATATATATATGCGAACAAGCCTGAATGGTCCCCAGGACATATACAACTGAAAACTCACACCCCAGAAGTGACTCGAACCCATACTCCCAGAAGCAACGCAACTGGTATGTACAAGACGCCTTAATCCACTTGACCATCACGACCGGACATAATGAGGTGATAGCCGAGGCTATATGAACCACCCCACCGCCGGCACTCGGATAGTTATCTTGGGCATAGCATTTTACCAAATCACCTCATTCTTTGGGGCACACGTGAGGAACACAAATGCGAACAAGCCTGAATGGTCCCCAGGACATATACAACTGAAAACTCACACCCCAGAAGTGACTCGAACCCATATATATATATATATATCCGAGTGCCGGCGGTGGGGTGGTTCATATAGCCTCGGCTATCACCTCATTATGTCCGGTCGTGATGGTCAAGTGGATTAAGGCGTCTTGTACATACCAGTTGCGTTGCTTCTGGGAGTATGGGTTCGAGTCACTTCTGGGGTGTGATTTGTTTCCTCACGTGTGCCCCAAAGAATGAGGTGATTTGGTAAAATGCTATATATATATCCGAGTGCCGGCGGTGGGGTGGTTCATATAGCCTATACCTCATTATATGGTCAAGTATTAAGGCGTCTTATACCAGTTGCGTTGCTTCTGGGATATACTTCTGGGGTGTGATATATATATATATATATATATATATATATATATATATATATATATATATATATATATATATATATATATATATATATATATATATATATATATATATATATATATATATATATATATATATATGTCGTACCTATTAGCCAGAACGCACTTCTCAGCCTACTATGCAAGGCCCGATTTGCCTCATAAGCCAAGTTTTCATGAATTAATGTTTTTTCGACTACCTAACCTACCTAACCTAACCTAACCTAACTTTTTCTGCTACCTAACCTAACCTAACCTATAAAGATAGGTTAAGTTAGGTTAGGTAGGGTTGGTTAGGTTCGGTCATATATCTACGCCTAGGGACATCCTGACGTCACCGTGCCTAGCCTTCACAGAGTGCTGTGTGAATGTCCTGGGAAGGTGCAGGATTAGCGGAAAGTGCCCAGAGTGGACCATCTCAACAAAAACGGATCAAACAGGTGGGTGTGCAGTTTATGGAATACAACGGCAGTGAGGGCAACGCTGGCGCCCTCTAGGCCTCCCACGACTAAGGTGTGGGGGAGAATGGGGTGTTGTTGTTCGGTAGGGCGAGGGTGGGGGGTCACCCATGTGTTTACTATTTGTTTACTAGTTGTGTTTACTAGTTGTGTTTTGCGGGGGTTGAACTTTGCTCTTTCGGCCCGCCTCTCAACTGTCAATCAACTGTTTACTAACTACTTTTTTTTTTCCACACCACACACACACCCCAGGAAGCAGCCTGTGACAGCTGACTAACTCCCAGGTACCTATTTACTGCTAGGTAACAGGGGCACTAAGGGTGAAAGAAACTTTGCCCATTTGTTTCTGCCTCGTGCGGGAATCGAACCCGCGCCACAGAATTACGAGTCCTGCGCGCTATCCACCAGGCTACGAGGCCCCCAGCTAGGCTACGAGGCCCCCAGTGCCACCCAGTGTTTATAGAAATACGTTTGGGAAATAAAAATGAAAATAAAAATCAGTAATCATGGTCAGAGATAATACAGCTCACAGTGTGTCGGATTACAAGTGTATGATTCATTCACCATTGTGCAGTGATATACAATAAAATTTTACCAGTGTTTAAGTGTCACCCAGATCCCCCCTCAAGCTGAGCGAGGCCCGGTCAACCCCCACCTCCTCCCTGCCTGCCGGCCTCGCCGCACCACAGTACCTACTGCCATCCCACCACCCAGACCCCCTGCCCATGGGTGTCTCCCACTCACCTATTCACCGCCCACACAGTGCTTGTGGCAGGGATGTGCTACCCTCCATGCACCCAGATATGGCACAACAGGTCACAGCAGGCATTCAGGTTCCTCCCAAAAGGGAGGGAGACACAAGTACTCATAGGAGTGGTGAGTGTGAGGGACAGCTAGCCACCCCTCCTGCCACCACCCGTGTCCACCCCTGCCGCCACCACCCCTGTCATCCATCTCACGCCGGCAGCCCGGGGGATGGAGGGGACTCCACCAACTAACCAGGAACCCCTCAGCCAAGAACAGGGTCCTGGGAACAGTGCACCCAGACGTGCAACCAGAGGACCCAGACTCAGAGGAACGTGTCGGGTGTGTGACGAATCGCACAGCATTAGAAACGATGAAACCCTACGTCAACACAACAACTGTGAGGGTTCATGGACGGCACCTGTAGAGAGAGAAGGCCCACAGGTCCCCCCGGCACCCCCACACATCCCAGCAAACTTCATGTCATCAGATGACCTCCTGGGGGCCATCAAAGCATCCACCACCAGAACTCTTCCCCACATTCCTAAAGCAGCGCGCCCATTTGCAGCAGGGAAATATACAGACCTTTTAAGGAAAGTAAATGAACGGTCTGCAAATCTTAATGCTGCAGCCACCATCAAAGCATGGCATAATTTGCTCCTGTTTGGCAATATTTGCTTAGGCGTACCTGCAAGAGGAGGCAAGTCATTGGCCTCATCAGTCACTAGGGCAATAAATAATTTCCCCAGAGCTGACAACTTGATCCCCATCCCTCCTCAACGCAAAAACCGTCGTGGCAGACCCAAGAGTTCCAATGATAATTTTAAACTTGGAACACAAGTGAACAAAAAATTGAAGAGGGCAACACAGTAGGGGCAATTAGATTACTTACCAGCGAAGACACAATCGCCCCTAGAAATACCGCTACCGCCAAC